AAATAAAAAGAACAAATAACACACTGAAAAGGTAGAATGTTTCCTCCTACAGCTCATGACTCTAGGAGTTCACTAATACTTAGATCCATTTATAATCTAATCTTCAACACATTCATACATCAATGGTTGAGATGGCCAAACTCTTATCCCTTGCCTGTAATTATTAAAATTGCATGTATTGATATCCATCTCCAGAAATTCTCAGGGAATTTTCAAGATACAAGTTTATTAATATTCCTCCCATTGCACAAAGTACTTGAATACCAATATCCCATTTTTATGGAAAGAAAACAGTACATAAAACTGAGTTCCTACTGAAATCAATCCAGAACAGCATGAGGCCCCAGTTACTTGCTGAGCATTATAGTGAGCAATTGTGCTGGGGCTATGACCAAATAGTTTCATTCCTCACTCTGTATTTTTATCAAAGCAATACATTTTCCTTTTTTAAAGAAATAAAATACTTCTCTAAATCATTTAAAATTACCAACCCAAAAAATAGCCACCACCAAGCTGTCTCTTAATTTAGGATCAATTTTTCCTTAGGGAACTATAAACCCAAACACATTCATTTAAAACATAGTCATGCAATCATGAGATAGAAAAAAGTTTAGGGAGTTGTTTTGGTTTTTTTTGTTTTTTTTTTTTTTTTTTTTTTTTTTTTTTTTTTTTTTTTTTTTTTTTTTTTTTTTTTTTTTTTTTTTTTTTTTTTTTTTTNTTTTTTTTTTTTTTTTTTTTTTTTTTTTTTTTTTTTTTTTTTTTTTTTTTTTTTTTTTTTTTTTTTTTTTTTTTTTTTTTTTTTTTTTTTTAGCTAAATTATGCATTTATGGAAAAATAATTCCTGGCATGTAAGGTGAGATACCAGTTCTTTAAAAAAAATGTATCCCAATCTAGAATTATTTGAATCAATACATATAGTAGATTAATCAGGAGAAATTATGGGTACTAACTTTTTTTCTTGACAGTACAGCAATCTATATTGTAAGGAACCACTTTCTAACTGGCACTTTCATGTGAGACAGAACATTCAATCAAATATGAAAAGTGAGGCAAGAGATGATGATTACATTATACAATTGCCTGTACCCAAGGATTTTAACAACCAATATTTCAAGGAGAATGAGACAGCCAGAAGAAAGAGAAATGCCATTTTCTAGTTTTATACATATGTGAAATAAAAGCTAAACTGATTTAATTATGAAATAAAACTGCTACCTCAGCGCAAAATGTCACTCACCTAAACGTACTTCTATTGGCACAATATATCTACTGATCAAAATGTCCTTGATTTTTACAAAGCTAAGGATGGTTAATTCCTTACTGGAGGTTGAATCCTAGAAGAACATTTAAGCAGCTCCCAGAAGACCTCAGCAGTGTTATGTCACCCAAATCAGATCTTTAACACTTAACAAGACTTGCCTTGGGAGAAATAAGGACAAGCAAATCCAGTCTCACCAGTGAGCTTATCCCAGACAGAAATGTGTCATGAATTAATCATACAAACAAACTCTTGTACCTCAGCTGGAATAGAATACTGTTTTTTCTTAAAAGGATGCCACAATCCCTGTGGGACTTCCAAGCTATTAATGTCTCTACTCACAAATGATGTTCAGTGTTCTAATGGGATATGGAAAATGCCAAAGAAACTCCTCTCAACAGAGGCAAGGCCAGAAATGAAAATATTTGCAAAACAATAAAGCCACAGGAAACCAAACCTTTTTCTAAGCTGTCAACAAAGAAGCAAGAAACAAAACAGCTTGGTGAAAGCAAGTGGCCCTTTGCTGAGAGAAGAGCCCCCAACAGCTGCTCTTCGCCTAGAGACCTCAGTGCTCTCAGAATGTCAATTATGATATGAGGAGGATGGATAATTGACTGGAGACCCCAAAATATGAATCCATCTGTTTAAACTTGTCATACCATGTACAAAATAGGTTTCTAGTAGTGCAGAGGATTTTCTTCACACTCACCACAGTACAGTGCAAGACTATTGCAATCAAGATGTATAGTGCCAGAGAGAAAAAAGAAACATTTTGGCCATTATCTGCCAATTTTTTTTCAGACAAACCCAGTAAAAACTCTTTTTCTTCACCTCATTCACCCCTTTTCTCTGTCTCTTGTGAGTAGTCCCATAGCTGTTCACAGCTGGGATTTCTGGCACAGATATGAGATCTCACCCAGCCTTGTATCATGTACAAAGCAAAGCAACACAGAGTCCCGAGGCAGTGCAAAGGAGAGTAGCTTTATTGCAAAAACCAGGCCTTTTAAAGCAGTTAGCCAGTTATCAATTCATACAGGTTTAAGGTACAACAAGCCCAAGCCAACCAAGCACGACGATGTGGACAGGCTGTGGTATTCACATTCTCTGAACAGAAACGTGATTCTCTCTCCCAGGACTTTTCCTGGGAAGTTGTGAGACGCAGTCAGAAAGCTCAGAGAAAGAAGAAAACAATTCTACCTCTATTCACTGCTCCTGTTTTTTGGCACATGTGGAATGTGTTATGGAGATTGCTTACCAAAGGATGATTTGTTAATGGGACACCAGTGATGGTTGTTTGGATTGATTGGCCAAAAATTGTGTCTTGACTGTCTGGAGACAGTCACAGCTTTTTCTTTAGTATCTTTTTAGTATGATATAATTCTAGTATAATATAGTATAAGATAGTATAATAAAGCAATTAATCATCCTTCTGCTACATAGAGTCAAAGTGTGTTATTCCCTGCACAGAGGGGTCACACTGCTTCAATAGACACGTGGCAGTCACACAGCGTGGCTCTCACGGCTCTCACACTTCTCTACCCCTGCTCCAGCTGAGCCACTCTCCCACAGTCCCCTTCTGCTTAGCCTAAGTAGAGGCCTGAGACATGATTTTACAGGGGTAAAAAAGCCCTAATTTTATAAGGCTTTACCTATATGCAACAGTATAAGAAGGTCACTGGCAGGAGCAGAGCAGGTCTTGCAGAAACCAATGCTTTATCAATTGCCTTTCATATGTCTATTTTATGAAGTACCTCTCGCATTTGTGTTCTCAAGCCGCTTATCTGGTGGGTATCCTCTGGAGGTCCACCTGAAAGGAGATACCATTTTAACTATGCATATATATTAGGGAAACCATGCACAAGAATGCTAAGTGTGAGGACACTTAAAAAAGTGTGAGTTTATAAAAGCCAGTGACTAAATAGACTGCTTTACCCTCGATTCCTCTGCTTTATACCAATTTAAACAGCTTCACAGGGACTTTTAACCTTCTTTGACATCTCTGAGCTCAGCAGGTTCTTCAGAATTATTCCATCTAGTTCCCTGCCTTGGTCTTAGTTTAGCTGACCACAGGGGAAGGAGATGTGTGTCTGTACACAACCAGGTGCTCAGGACTCTGAGAAGCCACTCCACCCCTGTGTGGTCCACAGGGGACTGGGAAAGAGAGAGGGTTCATATAATGGTTTCCACCAAAAGATCACATCATCCTGGATTAGGAGAACTGGACAGATAGGCAGATTTGGTCTTTGTCCTGTGAATCCACCAGTAAGGGGAATGCTGGGCACCTGGACAAAACAGAATGAGCCATTTGCTCATGGTTCCATTGACCAGGGGAATGCAGACATAGGGGTGGAAATGCTTGGGCTATTTTGTCATGGCTTCATTGGTCAGGGGAATGCGGGCACCTGCATTGCACAGCCTGGGCAATCTGCCCACAGCTCGATCAAACAAGGAGCTATGGGCATCTCTGATCTCACCAAGCAAGGCTGTGTGCAGCTTTGTAAACAGCTGACAGTATAAGAGAAGAGAATTAAAAAGACAAAAAAGAAGGGAGTTAACCAAATAGAAAACACTCTGGACAGGTGGGAGAGGTACCAGTGCCTTTGCTGGGTTCTGTGCAAAGCCTGGCAGCTGATTCTGTTAATGAAGGGTATTTGTGTCCCTATGTGCTGTCAACATGCAACTGAGCTATCTCCTAGGCATGTACCACAAGCTCTTTTGTGGCTTCTGCAAGCAAAAAGGAGAAAAAATATTTTACATGCTACAAACATTTAAACTGATCGGTTCACTAGGAAGAAAGAAAAACAGAGAGAGAAAAAGGGAATCCTTATGGAAACAAAGATTTCACTCTGCTAACAGTAACAGAGTGAGTCAGACAGAGACTGTGACCATTTAAAAAGCAGGGCCAAAGAATCCCAAGGGCAAGTACCTCTGCCATGATGGAAAAACTTGAGCAGAAGAGAAAACTACTGTCAAACTGGAGTTGGCACATCTAAGCCTGGAAATAGTGCTAACAGTTCTCTTTCACTGGCAAGGACTGTGGTGCAGCCCTCCATTATCGACCTCTCCCAAAAGCAACAGAAACAAGCACACCCCGAGACATAGAGAAGGGTAGAGTGCTGAGCCAAAATACAACAGTCACTGTTAAACACCAAGTTAGAACTGTGATGCTCAAAGCCCAACTCTTGTTGCTCTGGAGAACTACCAAGCAGCAAAAATGCTGTGATGCAAGAGTAACAACCTGCAGATAGCCAGCAGGCACCAAGCACCTCAGGTCCTGTGTGTTCACTGCTCTGTAGCTGCTTCTAAGTAATAAACACCTGGCTTTGTGTGCAGAAAGGACTCCCTCAGCACCCACTTGCCCTAAGCTAAGCTGTGTTCAAACATACTTCAAATGACCAAGGAAAAAGTTCTGATCACACTTCCCACTTCTTCCACAGATGACCTTAGTGCCTTTGTTGACCTAACTCTAGAACTCATGCTAAAGTCACACTCCTAAAATGTTTCCAGAAATTGGGATGCCATTAACACTGCATTTATGCCAATAAACCTTGGTTTTCTCTGAGTGACACTATTGTCACTGGGTTCAGAAACACAAGGAAGTAGACTTACCTTCTCCCTTGACATATTGCCTGACTGCAAGAAGTGAGAGCTTACTGCTTTTTCCTAAAAATCATCTTGGGATATTTGCTGTGTATGCAGAGCACTTTTACCTGCTCTGGGATGTGAACTCTTTCTCTTGCAGGTGATTTATCGTGCCTTAAGTCCAGCTAACAAGATCGAAGACCCTTACAGCCCTGAGGCTCAGGATCTCCTGAAGCTCACCAACCTCCGCCTGCTTTTGTTAAAAAGACAGGAATGTCCATGCCATGGCTCAGGATTGGTAGAGAAACCCCAAAGATTTGCCCACTATGCTATTTATGACCTGATCATCCGGGGAAGCTGCTTTTGCAATGGGCATGCAGAGGAATGTGAGCTTGCCAACAGGACGGCAGTGGTGGAGAACATGGTGAGTTTCTGACATTTATCAGCTTACTAGACTTGCTACTTGCTTCTGCTGCCTCAGCCTAAATGTATATTTTAAGGGTGATCCTGTCCCAGCCTCCCCAAACCTATCCAAAAAAAGGGCAGCACAGTCAATCCACATTAGTGAAACCTACACCACTCTGGGAAAATATACTATACTCCTATTTCCTATACTTCTTTCTACAGCTTCAGGTATAACAACTGCTAAAAACTCTGGAATTCTTAAACTCAAATAAATTACTAAAACCTCAAAATACCTATGAATTGAAAGGGGTCTTTGTAATTGGAACAGAGATCCAACCCCAAATATGGTGAGTGAAATCTCCTACTTATATGCCTGCACAGAACTGAACAAATATATTTGTCTGCCCTAAGAAATTCAGCACCAGATCTCAGATTTTCTGAGTCTGTGTGACATGAGCAGTTCTGTCTTACTTAGGGTTTCAGCCGTCACTTTTGGGCTTTCAACCTTCTGTGTTCTTGTTACTTTCACAACATAGACAGCAATGTTCAGGATGTGAAAATAACTTCTGCTCTCCCACTCTTTTATCCATGCATTTTAAAATAAGTTAATTTTTTTTTTTTTTTAAATCCAAACCTTGTAGTAAAATTATTCTGTAGCACTTGGAGTGTCCCTTCCCTGTTCAATCTTTTATCTGCATTTGGCTCTAGATGTGCCCAAGAGGAGTTGTGTTTGAATGCACACTCAGATATTGAAATTCAGAGGAAAGACTGAGGACACCTTTTTGATTTAGCTGCAAGCATTATGTAGAGAACTGTAATAACAATCATGGGGAGATTTAATCTAATCAAACATTCAGGTACATCTAGACACATAAATCAGAGATGGAATTCAAGCCACTTTAAACTAGTTAATATCTCCCCTGGATCCAGAAGCCTCTGTCTCTGTATTGGGTTCTGAAAACCCAAATAACCCTTAAAATTCTAGCCCAGTGCACTCTGACATAAAAGACTCAAGAAAAAACATCCTAAGCTAATTTCTGTCCCTTTAGATAAATGGTAGACTTGACATTTTGGTTTATGCTATTTTGGAATGTGTATTCATTGCTGTCCTTTCAACTTTCCTAGGTTCAGAGGTAGATGTTGTAAGATAATTAGGACTGTATGACTTTCAAATAATTTCTGAATCTGTTCCATCTGTGGTATAAATCCAAGATTCAGCTACACTATATGATACTATCAGATTCAAATAATATAGACCCACTTAAATCATAACTGTGTGGAGAAAAGCTGTTTAGAGAGTGGCTCATCCTTACTGCAAACTGTTAAATAGACACATAGTGAAATAAAATAGATGAATAACAGACTAAATGAATGCAGCTGGTAGAAAAAGAAACATTCTGCCCATCAGAAAAGGAAAACACAATATTGTGTGGGTTACTGGCATAACCACTGTAAACTATGACTGGATATTTTTCCCACTGGTCACAAGGGAATAGAATCTTTTTGTGCCATCAATGACTTCACAGGGCAGAAGGTGAAATAGTTTTGATGAAATGCACTTCACGAGTGACTCATGTCCCAGGAGACAGAGGGTGGATGCAGCACATGATTCTCACAGATATTATCAAGTCTTTGTATAAGCAAGAATTCAAACACAGCTGTTCAAAAAATAAGAAAAGCCTTCTGCAGCTTTAACTGTCTCTAGAATCCTAGAGGAGACCTGGAAAAGACCACAAGTGGGCTGGTTTGTGTCCTCACATAAAGGTGTGATCAAGCATACCCAAACCATCCACTAGTGAAAGCTTTTTGTATGAGATTTTCCTGACAAAGAACATCCAAACCTTCAGTAGGTGTTCCAGTTTTAACATTCTGAAAGCTTTTTAGTGCCTGCCTAAATAATCTCTGCTGCAAATAAAGGTGATTCCTCCTTGTCTCCTCTTCCCCAATGATCAAAGCAAGCAGTAGATCCTCCTTCTGCAGATGTGATTGGAAGGTTTTCTCCATATCCTTCTTTAGGTTCTATTTTTTTTGTATTAACCAGAGAAGTGTGAAACCTTAGGTAGTAAAAATTTAAAATTTTACTCCCAGATCACACAAGACCAGAGTAAAGATGATCATGCTACTGTATTCATCTTTTCTGTACTTTAGACATTATAACTTAAGTCTTTCTCAAACATAAACCAAAACCCACTCCTGGAAGATCCAGGTCCCTGGATCCTTTTGTATTTTACCTAATATTTACCAATAATGATATTGTAGTGGTGAGGGGAGAGCTCACATTAATCCAGATCTCAGCCTGGAGTTTATGTAAGTGTCTATTTTTTTTTGCTTGAAATACAGCAATATCCTTGTCTACAAGCAGGAGGAAAAGACCTTTGTTGTTGAGGGCTCAACACCAATGATACAGTTCCCATCAGCAAAACTACACTGCAAAAAAATCTTTGCCATTTTGCAATTCCTTGGCAGAGGAAAGGTGCTCTGCTCTCAGTCACACGGTAATGGTGACCCACAAAAAACAGGGTGTGGAAAAGATGTTACAAACACTGCACATCCAGAAATAATCTGATTCAATCCACAGGCCACATCTAATATTTAAGGTACACATGGGCAGAACAAGTCCTGAGACTGGTGTGGATGAAGTCACATCATCCACAGATTGAAAGCAGAGCAGCTTTGTTTCCTGGGCTGCTGTTAGGTAGCTAAATAAAATGCTGCAAAAAATAAAGACCTCTACAGAAACTCTTAAGCAATATGAGTTTCAGCCTCTTAATTGTTTATAATCCTCCTATGATGTATTGATCTTCTGTAGTTGACAAAAACAAACAAAAAAAAATTAATGTAGAATACAACTGTAATTGTTTGATGTGGGATAGGACCAAAATCTGAGACCATTCTTGTGCTTGGGTCTTAGAAAATACATTATTGTGTTAAGTTGCAAGTCTGCTCTTCCTACTCTGACAGAAGTCTCTTCCATTTGTAATACTCCTAACACTGCTAAAGTGATACTACATGGAGGCTAAATAATGGAGAAAATTAAAGCAAATTTCTTCATACACTTGAACCAATATTTTTCAATACCATTTTGAAGGGACTGGATGAGCTATGGCTGTTAGATAATCTATCAATGATCAGTTTATCTGTGGCTATGTCACTTCAGTCATGGCAACCCTTTCAGCTTCTGGCTTCTCCACTGAGGCTGCCAATAAGAAATGCAGCCCCGTGAGAAGCAATGTCACAGATGCCACAGTGTCATAGCAACAAATGGATACAGGAAAACTGCAGATTGTAAACCCAATGTCCAAATGGTGCATCATTCCTCATATTTTGAAATCCTACAGAGTCTCATGCATATTTCTGGTTATAAGTTTGTGAAAATACAGTGAGACCCAAAATAGGCACAGAGGATCCAATTAAAATATTCTCTGACTTCTTATTTTGGAGCAAAACAGTACTATTCTTACTGTGGGGCTTTTTTTCTTTAAACAAACCATGCACCCCCCTCAACACAAATTATCTAGACATTTCCTGTACAAACTACTGAGAATATCATGTTGGATAGGAGGAAAACTTTGAGATACCAATATAGGAGCTCAAAATAGGCAAGAAACTTCAGGACAAACATGTCTTGCTATTGACAGTAATGACTGTTGCTATTGACAGTAATGTTTTCTTGGTTTCTATTTAGCTTTCCTCAGATCAGAAAAGTAAAAGGAGACACAGAGATGTCATTCCTGACCCAACTTCAATAGCTTTGTATGGTAGCTAATGGCAAAATTCTCCTTTCTGAATATCACAGACTGCATTTTTCAAAAACTTACAAATAGTTTCCCAGACTTTTTGGGTTTTTTGGTTGTTTTTTTTTTTTTTTTAATTATTATTAATGGGGGATATTTACATGCTGTTACAAGTGAAACAACTGCCAGGACCCAGCCATCTGAATGCATCCAGTCTTGTTCTATGGTTGGATGCAACAGAACACAATCCTGTCCAAGGCAGGATGTATGAAGTTATGTGTGTCTCTACAGAGCTGCCAGGTTTAGGATCTGCTTTGATGGCCCATTTTAGGTGAGTCCAGAGGTGCTTCCAGAACAAAGTTTACAAAGCAGAAAATGCATATGGACAGAACACAGAATCTACACCAAGGTCCTTTTTGTTTGCCAAACATTTCACAATTCTCTTTCTAGCTCATGAGAAGCAAGTTCAGAAAGAGGAAAGCAAATGTGGATGAAAATGTTTTTGTATGAAGCTTTAGGGTTTGTCTTTTTACTTGTTAATTATTGGTACCTACAGTGCCAGGAAATTCTTACAAGTGGCCTCGGATGTTTCTTTTGCTTCTTTATCCTGTTTACAGAGACAAACTAGACTCCCTGTGGGCCTGATCCTCCACAATGAAGCAAATGGAAAGTTTTCCACTTACTTCAAAAGGAACAGGATCTGGTTCTAAGTAGGATTCCTTGTTTGGCATAATGGGGGTTACATAAGGTAAAACTTGCTTTTTTACATCCGTTTTCTAGGTGATCAGGCTGTTGTAACCCTTGTAAATATTATCTACCTCCTCTTCAGATGTCTTGTGCAGTTCTATTCATAATCCCCAGCTAAGTTTTCACATTATCTGATTCCAGCTGTGCCCAGAACTCAGAGATGCAAGAGGTGTTACTTTCAGGACATTTGAACAGTGGAATTTACTCATTACTCTGTGATTCAGGCACTCAATATTAAAATATTGAGTCTCATTCCCTTTTCTTCTTCCTCCATTCTTAAGACACTCCCCAAGAGTTGGTGACCTACTGTAACTCAAATGCTGCACTTCAGCCTGGCAGCTGTTACTCATGTGCAGTTTGTTACAGATTGATAATGGAGTTACTGGCATTGCAGACAAAAATAAGAGGACAGCTTGTCCCCAAAATCAACAATAATCAAGGTAGAATTCAGAAAGGAGACAATTAGCAAGCAGAATGAAATATGAACTGGGGGACGTGAATTCAGGCAGAGAGCAGAGTTGTGTTTTGAAACTGTTAC